ACTGTGATACACGTCATATCATACTTCCAAATAACAATAAGTCCTCTCTTCTGAAATTATACCTACGTTTTAGGGCACTTTTAATAAAAGTCACGTAATTTATGTTGCCAAGATGTTTTGTAGACTCCTCGTGCATCATTCTATACGTTTACACACATCTATTACAGTCGTATTATGCAGTTTGGGTTCATATGTAAATTTCTCTTAAAATAAACTACTTCAACGCTACGTTCGGTAACTACGTAGGCCTATAAAAAGGCCTGTACATTTTCATATTTCAATTTAAAATATATTTTTTTCAGAACAGCATGTGCTCTGTTTATTTAATGATTACAGTAACCAATTAAAATGAAGTAGTAACTGCAAAAAGCGTCTACTCATACTTTTGTTTAATTACGTTTTTTCCTTTAACACTATGCAAGAGTTGCAAAAATTTCCAGCTGCCCTTTCAAATAAACCAGATAATCAAGCAATATAATAAAACATCAGTTTTTACTTCGCCACCTCTCACCAACGCCCGGATAACATGACGTAATACATCATCATTATAATATATCGATAACATAAGAATCGAGGGTGTCCAGGTTTACAAGGTAAATGGTTCATGTGGGTGTACTAAGGAAGAAGAACACCTCTACCTCCTTTCGGATGGTTGACTTCTGGGCTGTATAGTCAAGTTTACCGACGTTTCAGAGGTGATTGCTCTTTCCATCAGCTGGGTGATGGGCGCGAGTAATTCCCTTACAATCCATAAAACAACCATCTTCATACTTGCCATCGTGAGAACCTGAAATCCTATCTCCACCTTCCTCCGTAATCAAATTCAACCAATAAAATAAGAAAAACGCGTTCGATAAAGAACTAACATGTTTAGCTTCTGTATTAGACATGATTAATGCTTGTGAAGTCCACAAATTAATGTCGGCTGCAGATGTCTAGTCCACACTGTTAGTGCAGTTCCAGCATTGTGGTCTGAGAGAAACTCCCTACTTCCTACTAGCTATGGTTAAAACAAAAACCGCAGTCCCAATGGGAACCATGTGGTGGTCTGTCGGCACGGGTCCACACCAATTACATCGACACTCTTCTCCCATCCGATTTCAGTTGCTAATGTTCCTTTTATCATCACCTGAAAATTCCACAGTGAAGTTCAAGGAACACTGACACATGAGCGTTTTTAAACCAGGTCGCTATTCAGTTAGATTTCCAAACAGCATACACACACACACACACACACACACACACACACACACACACATATATATATATATATATATATGTACTGTGTACGTGTCAATTGAACTGCACAGAAAAACCCGAAGCTTATATACAGCTAACACAAAAGCCCGCAAATAAACAACATCCATCAACCTCCGATCGTCTTAATCTCATCCCTAGCACGTATCACAATGGTTGTCTCACGTCTCCTTTTTGGTCTTTCCATTGAACACTTTTTAAGAGGCCTCCCCGTCAAATTTCTGTATGAATTTCTTGTCTCCTCTACATAGAATACCATGGCCACAACTAAGCATATACATAAAGCATTTTAGTAACATAAGTGTGTTTAGCTTAAAATTATCTGGCACAGAATAGTTACCCTAGATCTCAAGCTCATTGTTGGAGAAGAGAGATATAGGCCCAGGTAGACAGAGAACGTGTCACACTTTGTCAAAATGACATTACAGATGCCACTTGTACATTGAACACACTGTACCACAAATAGTTTGAACAGGAAAGTACACGCAGCGTAGGAACTGTCTGGGAGCTTACGTTATTCATTTCATTTTACAACTGACTGAAATTTAAAAACAACGTGCAATTACGACTCAGTTCCAATTACATTAATTGAATTATCCATTGTTTAAAATTGTTTAAAAATATAGTGCACTGAATTGGACTGTGTAAAATGAGTACCAGATTATACAAGGCAAAAGAGGCCTCTTAAGTGAAACTGGCTTTAACGCAGAAAGAGTAGATTGTTTCATTCTGCTTGCGCGATTCTTTCTAACACATATAATAGCATAAGTTTTCAAAGATATAAGTTCCATTTGTGCAGTGGGCAGTACATGATATATTTTAGTTGAAAAGCAAAATGCCAATACAAAGTAAATGGTCAAATATGATTTGTTATATCCGATAAAGTACAGCACGCCCACACTTTTTAGAGGTGAACCACATGGGTTTTCATTTGTTATGACCTGACGTTTCATACGACGACATACAGTATGACCGCATTCATAACAAACCTCTTGCATGTGACACCAAACTGTTGAAAAACATACCGGCACACCCAAAAATAACTTTACAGTTTAACCTGCTCTCGTACACTTTTCACATTGTACATGATTATTTACAATTATGTTATGTTGCTTGCAGCACATATTTTATCTCCCAAAAATCCACCCGCAAACAATTAACGCAAACTTCTACGTGACTACACGTCGAAAGAACCCAGAAGACAACAATCTTCAAACTCACGGTCGTGAAAACCTAAAATCCTACACAATTAACGCATATATATATATATATATATATATAAAACCGTGGTGTGATGCTTAGATTTGGGAAAAACTTCATTTCACTCCCCTACTCAGTACATGAAAAATCTGGAATTTAGTGAAAAATATAGACTGTAAAATTTGCAATCACTAAATTATCAGTAATTACAATTATTACAAGTATGGTTTAATTCGAACTCTTGGCCAAATATTATACACAAAATATATGAAGTAAGTGAGGCATACAGAGCATATCAGAGAATAAAAAATAATACAAAATGTTTGTCGGAAAACCTGAAGGAAACGGTCCAAATTCCTAGAGCGTGCTGTTGAAGACATGGAAATAAACTTCAGGTTCTATAAAAGCAAGCCATCTCTTCACCAGTTGAATTGGTACCAACTTTCCAAGGAGCCATTCACTAAAAATATAAATAAGATCAATAAGTCAATAAGGATTTGAAAAATGTGTCTCTGTAACGTAATCGATTTTCGTTGAATCCAGCAAAAAGAAGGTCACATTTAGGGGCAGTATTTAGCGTTACGAAATGTAGGTCTACTTAGCCAATTCTAAAACCGCTGCCTGTCTCAGCTTTTCATGTGTCTTAGAAAATGGTGGAATATATATTGTAAAGATTTCTTTATACACATCTAAGTATCAGACCATTAAGATATATGCCGGAGTGTATATAAAGCACAGTGTATTTCTAAGTTCGTCACAGATCACAGATACGTTGTTAGTTCCGGATGCTTTGTCCTGAGGAATGAGTCTCTTGCACAGACTAGATACAAGATGGGTGTGCCCCAGATCTGGTTTCGGGGTAGTGGCAATTTTAAAATTCCCCAATCCCTCCGGAAATGAACCATGGTTTTACAGCCCATAGCCAGATATTAAAATGAGCTGTTCCAATTCATTAAATAGCCTAAGTTATATATTAAACTACACTAGACCGCTTATTTCCAGATCCTACCCAATTTAACCAGTATCATCTTCCATCCTGACATCATATAACCTGCGCAGTTCAGAAAACATTGTTATGTGTAATTAAACTAAGAAATACAAAGGAATTAAAATAAGCTTGGTCGCTTATCCTCACAAATCCTGCGTAAATGATGTAAAAAGATAAACCACTTACCTTCTATCAATAACACAGCACTTTGAAATAGATTACCTAATTTTAAAGAATTGAAATTCATAACAATATTAATTATTGAAATCGTGTCGTGATCTTCAGAATTATTCGACTTAATCGATATTTGTTATATGGAACAGATGCGTTCATTTCAACTGTTTGAGTGCGGAACATATTCGTTTAAATAATTCGCGCTGTATATTCTGTTTGTTTAAAACAAGGCACTAATGACACTTAACAAAGAGAATTATAGTAGATGGGAAATTTGTAACACGATACTCAAAACAAATGGCGGACTGGCACTTGAACCAGGCAGTACATGTAACAACTCACGCGTAGCGACTACTGACTGCTATGGGAGTAAACATAATGATGATGACAACAATAACAACAGAAATAATAATACGCCCGCAACCATGTCTAATAAATTAATTTCAGATAACCGTACCGTATTTAAACCTATTCGAACGTAGATAAAAATGTTATTCACTAATCAACTAGACATAGTTCTAAACCTAACAGCATGTTAGCAAAAGTTTTGATTGGAAGGTCACAAGGGAGGAGACCGCTTGGGAGACCCAAGAGTAGATGGAATGATAATATTAAAATGAACCTAATAAAATTAGGTTGGAGGCTGTAGATGTAATTCATTTGGTTCAGGATACGGATCGGTGGTGGTCCTTCACTGGCACGGCAATGGACCTTTGGGACTCTGTCCGAAGGAGTGAGTGGTGAGTCGTACTTTACATAACATTTTAAACAATGTCAGGAGAGTTTAATTATTTTATCTATCACATAGAAAAAGGACAGAATAATAAACTCAGAAAGAAGAAAAACCCGCACATTCTGTGATGATAGCTACCCGAAGGAAGGAAACCCTGGTAACCAGGGCCATTTTGCTCAGTGGGTAAACGATGGCTTCGCGGTGCTTGTGATTACTGACAGGACTTTTCCTTACTTCCGCAATTTGAAATAAATAATTCGTCGAACACAGCGACAGAATATTACTTTTTCATTTATATTCACAAAAATACACGTAAACGAAAAATGATTTGTAAAGGAATTTATCCACAAACAGGTTTCGTGTTGTAAGCTGTACATGAAATGTATATACTGTAAACGATTAATATTTTCGGCAATCTTCTCACACGAATAAAGGCTTCAACAAAACCAAATTATGCCCACGTGTCCATTCGTTAAAACTTGTCAGATCACACTGAAACAACTGCCTCAACGTTGATGTCATAACTGTCGTGAAATTAAGCATTTCGATTGCAGAGCTCTGCCTGTATTTTCATAAGCTGGTGCATGAAAAACATAGCGTCTTCAGGATCGGAGCTGTCATGACAGTTTAATATGTTTCTGTACTCACATTGATATTGCGTCCTGGTTCGTCCTCCACCAGTTGCCGGGCGATGTCCTTGCATGTGCTGCGGGCGCTTGGCGTCACCTTTCCATCATCCTCCCAGTACCGGCTGGGCGAATGGGCGAACAGAGCTGCAGGGGTGGCGTGCGTCACACGAGTATTTGTTACTAACCCCGTCGCTTTGCCTGTTGGCGTCAGAATAAAATGAGATATGCTTTAGCAAACCGACAAAAATGTGCGACAATTTTATGTCGTTAGTGTTACTGGCTGCAGGCCAGGATCCATTGTTCTTTGGGTTCAGTAAGCCGATAAACAAGTGGCCTACTATCAAAATGTGACCCGCATGAAAATGTTTCCCGGCTAATTGCACATTGAAAATTGTTCACAATCAATCAATTTTCTTCAATAATCACGAGAAAAAAAAGAGAAACATGAATCACTGGAGGTACTGTTTAAATCCTCACGTTGGTAACAAGTCTGGACATTATAAATAACAGCAAAGAAACTCTACTTAGGATCACTGAAGAAATTGACGATGATTTTAAAGACGTATGGTCTTGTAGATGGTAGAAAACGTTTCAGAGGAATAAACAGCTTTCATTTTTGGAGAAGATTCTTCATCCCTGATGATTGGCGCTTCATAACCCAGAGGACCACAGTTAAAGTTTTCAACGCGTACATATCTAGGATCAATCATTCAGATTTACTTATACCTCCTCTGACACAACAGTCTGTCTGTTAAGAACGTTATAATCGCCTGGTTTCAACATCAGTGTTACGTGTGAACCTAAAGCTACGTAATCTGTGGCCAAAAATCTTTAAAAGCGTAGTTCATAATAAGTCAAAAATGTTTAAAGGACCCGTTCGCCATTGCCTGTTGAATAATTTAGTAAGCCTATATCAGTGGGCTCTTTCAGAGTTGCTAAGCTTTGAATATCCATACAGCCTTTGCTCAGAAAGGGAGGGTTTGCGTGCTGTATTGATTGAAGCTATAAATTACCTTCTATATTATACTGTGCTAAAATCAGGGCAAATACGTGTGAATATATTTATTAGGCCAATATAGGTTTATCGGCAAAAAGGGTTTTTCAAATTCTTCTATTTCAGTCCAGGCGAAATTTATAATTTTAATTTCATATCCCTTCTGTTTTAATTTAGTACTTTTATAAGATATTGTAGGTGCGTCATATTGTGATTTTATTTAAAAATAGTATTAAAATATATTAAAATTGTCCGTCAATCACAATAAAGTAATATAAGATAATTAAATGGTTAAATTATTATCCTTTGTTCCGTATCGAGTACTCGATTTACATATGGAACATTTTCGACATGTTTCGGCTTTCATAGAGCTAATAGAAAACAAAATAAATAAATGAAAGTAAACGTATAAACTTACCAGAGAAGTAATATCGAAGTTGTAGGAGTAGAGATCAGAAGTACATCGTATCGGAGCGAGGTTGGTTATTGACTGCGGTGTTAGTGGGTGAAAGGCGGTTTGTCAGGGTTGGGGTCAAGGTACTGGAGTGCATTAAAAATGGGGTTATTAAGCAAGATGTTATTATCATTAAGGCATATGATTTGTTTATAAGTTTGATATATGTGATATTTTTCTATTGTATCTCTGTCTTTTGTTTTTTACTATTTTTAATATGTCCATTAAAAGTTTATAACATACACCTGATGACGGCTCTATGAAAGCCGAAACATGTCGAAAATGTTCCATATGTAAATTGAGTACTCGATACGGAACAAAGGATAATAATTTAACCATTCAATTATCTTATATTACTTTATTGTGATTGACGGACAATTTTAATATATTTTAATACAATTTTTAGTACTTTTATTAGACCCATATTCTTAAGCTCTTGAATCACCGAGTTACAGTAGTTTTTCACGATTATTACTACAGGTTTCAGCATACATTGATGCTATTTTCAAATAAATTACATATTATACACTAATTAAGTTATATGCAAAGTTTGTTGTATGATATCTCTTCTGGCCTGTAAACCAACTCATAAGGAGTCAAACATTTATTCCTCACGTCTGCAGAATCTACTGCACAGTAATTAATTATTTGTCTTATAACTTTGTATTTTCCAAAATCCTTTTAATAGGTCACCTGTAGTCGTCTGTATTAGATGCAAGTGGTAATTAACGTTTCAGAGGAACGTGTCGCCTGCATTTTAAGTTTAGACGGGCCCCTGAATATGGAAACTCAGCCCACTCCAAAATATGGGAATTACCTTTAACACTGTATAGTGTTACAATCCAGAAGACAACTATCGACATCTGCAGCATTTTTAAAACTGAAATCTTTAATAATTTATGATTATGATATGGCCAAAATTTTCAGTTGCACAGCTACGGTATAAACCACTTTTAAAATGATCTATCTATGTCGATTACTATGGGGTTTCTTCAAATCTATGTTCTTCACTTTCGTAAGATCTATATATCTACAGACAAGCAGACAGGTCGACAAAGTTGTTTGTTCCTTTCGTATTCGACTAACACGACAAATTAATTTTACTGAATAAACTTTTCAGCACACAAAAAGTCACTCCCTGTCATTAAAATCAGTGTACGGTATCAAATTAAACTCTGAAAGCCGTGTAAATGTCGAAGTGCGCTAACACTAAGCTGAAACTCAGAACAATGGTTATTTCCCTCTAGAGGGGATTTTCGCCTGAATTACATTACAACGCCATGATTAGATGAACAAAGTCAGTGTTTATAATTCCCACCACCAACGAATGTTCTGACGTTAATGTAATCAAAATTTGGTTAAAAGGCCATTAGATATTACAACTCGACTATCAAGAACAATGTATTCACAAGAAGATAAACAAAGTTAATTCATTCATTCTATAAAATTTAAAGGCAGCGTTGTAACTTAAAATTTTAACATCTCTCTCTATGTATAACATTACATGTGTGCAATAATATGTGTAAACATTTTGAAATAAATCTCTAATGATAATAAATATGAATATCAGGTCACTTTATTCAGCCATATTTGTAAAAGAGTTTAGCGAGATATTTCTAACATTCGATCATATTTTACAATAAGAAGACTTCTGTAATGATAAATGCGTATATGACAGTTGTTATACAACCTCTATTATTATTCAGGTGATCAATAAATCTCGTTAGGCAATCCGGAGATTAATCAGCGTTATCATACAAGGCCACAATCTGACGCCTTTGTCTGGCATATCAAACCACATTTTTATCGTGACAACCAATTATTCCTAGAAGAATTTGAAGCCCACTTTATCCTCGAATCTCAGGACGATTTATAAATAATAAATTGCAAAAAATATGACATGGAAGCATCTTGGCCAATGTAAAGTTGTTGTTTGGGTACTTTCCTGGAGAAAATGGAAAAGCCACGACACACCTCTATCAGGATAGCAAGTCTCTGGGTCAGGATATGAACCCGAGACTTCGAACATAAAGCAGAAATGAATTGGTCAGTCGGAGAATAAATAAAAAAAAATATGAACAGATTGATTTCATAAGCATGTTCCAGAACTTCATATATATATATATATATTAACAACAAGGTGTTACAAAATATGTGCGACAGATAATCTTCATAACCGTCAAAGAAAAGCCCATTTATTTGCCTGCTTATTTGCATATTTATCTGTTTCATGTTTAAGGACATTTTAGAATGTATATTTTTTCTCTTAAATGTAAGAGGTGAGAAATATGAAATATAAAGTACTTACTTTTAAATGCCACGTCTGCAAAAAAAAAATACACAGATGTGTCGTGTTTCAAAAAGAGCCAGGCAGTTCTTCAGGATATGTGGATCTGACGGCAAGGATCTGGCATTCACAATTCGCGTAAAAGGCTAAGTACTTGTATATAAATATAATCGGCCGGTTTACGTAATTATAATTACCTGCTTGTTGTGCCCAGTCAAACAACGACGGAACTCGTGAAGAAAAGCTTGAGAAACAGTTCTCGAAACGGCCACCAGAGTCAAGGCCCACTGTTTCGAAATTTGCCTTGACACCACACAACAATGCTGTTGCGCAAGCCGATGACTCGCCGATCTGAGCATCGGAATTATACGTCTGCAAAATAAAGATAAATACAACACGTTAGATTGAGGAAAATGTCCAACAGTTAGTATGAAGGAAATATTGCACATCGATAGAGTTGCGATAAACATAGATCACTTTAAGAAATAAACAACCATTTATAAGCAACTGAGGGAAATCCCAGACGAGGTTCTGGTGATCGAATCAAGACAGTATGCCTACTGAATTTCAGTCGTACACATTATATGTTGCATGTAGGAAACAACATTGCCAGATTTAGGTTAACCTAAAAACACTATGTTTCGAAAAAGGAAAATTCTAAAACCTCCTATCAGATACGTCATATCCGTCTATCTGTAAGTCAGACACAAACAGTTCCCAAGCTATATCACAAGGTTTGTTTGACGTAGCCTTGATTGGCCTACACTAAATTTGTTACTTTAATTTCAATAAAGTCATCAAGTCAGCAATTACAAGTTAAACCAATGTCCCAGAAATCTATGTCCATTTTCACGAGAAATGTTGTCTCTAGCTACAGGGCTGTACCTGAACATAGAGGCAGTATGTTCCTTCGAAGCGCTGGTATCTATTTAGGGGTCACAAAGAGTCACAACTCAGAACAACATGGACACTAAATACTACGCTTCACAGTGTTGCCTATACCAACCCAATATAAAACAGACAGCATAGAATTTAATGTTAATATTACTAAAAGTAATTTATTTTGTTTCGGAAAATTGTGGACTACTGTAAACACCATGTATTATTATTATTATTATAATCATTACTGTCATCATCATCAACAACAACAACATCACCAGTGTGGATAATACTCGGCATAAAGCAGAGAAATGGAAACATTCCAAGAGGAAATAAGAATAAATGTCAGATGCTTCATACAGAACGCGAAATAAATTAAGTCACTCAAGTCTACATTTGCATTCAATGTAAACCGATAAGCATTGGTTAAAATTAATAGAAAGAAGTTTGATGTGGATATTACAATAAAACACGGGACATGGCACATTAATTACAAGCCAAAATTGGAAACCATAATGTTTCAGAAATCAGACCGGTATCTCCATGATGACATATAAGTATTAAAATACATAACAAAGCAGTATAAATTCTGTCCAAACGCTTTTGATTCGAATTCAGTTGAAAAAATTTCAATTTCAATCTGTATTCCATGCAATTTAATTCAATAATTAAGGGCACTAGGTGCAAGTAGCATATTTTTTCCCTCGACTAATTCCTAAATTTCAGCGGCCTTGAAAAGGAGAATATCATGACATCTGTACCCCACCCCATAATCATTTCTCTATAAACCTTCTCTGACAGACGTGTAGATATTAGTGAACAAAATGGACCTGTATAATTTTTACTCTACAGCAAACATTATCAGGGTGATAATATCAAGGATAATGAGCAGGACGTGTAGCACGCTTCTAAATAACAAGAAATGTGTAGGCCTACAAGATTCAATCAGAACACCTAAATGATAAGAGGCAGCTTGGAAAGAAAAGGCGTATATGTGAAGATATTAAAGTGGATCTTAAGGAAATGGGTTCTGAAGACGTGGTCTGGATTCAGCTGGCTCAGGACAGGGTCCAATAGCAGGCTGTTGTGAATACGGTAATACACGTTTGGGAAAAGAGGATTGAAGTACTGCATTGCACGACAGCGCCACAGTACTCACACGAAGAATCGAAGAAAACCCTAGTACAAAATCAGGTGCCTTGAATTAGCTTCTAAGCTGAACATTTTAGTATGAACACTCTACTTTTCCTATAATTCCATATCTTTTCACACCGTGTAGATTGGGATTCATTCAGTAAACCAAGTAAGTTTTATTACGCGCTGGGTTGGTGTCAAAATATGCAATGACGTACGTTTACAACAGCAACCATTTGAGCCGCATTTTTAATGGCTTTAAAAACGAACCATCTTTTCAACGTTGATAAATTATTATCATTTCAGGGGTCACTAAATCCTTGAGTTTAAGTTATTTGTTTATTTTTAATCCCCTCCCCCATCGGCCGCCATGATAGAAATTGCTGCCAGGTATCGGACTACTGCATAAGCAGCCGATCCCATCCTATTCCATAAACCGTTTTCTGCCAGCCTCAAACACGCTGCCGTAATCCTTGGTTGAGCTTCGCGTCAGACACATGAGTTATGCGACTGTACCGGCGCCTGGGTCCCACTCTGTCCCTAGGGATAAGCTGAGCACCAACGGAATATCAAACAAACACCACTGAGAATATAAACTACCCCAATGTGTAGGTTAAATCGCAAAGGGGACTAATATCAGGCGAATATAAATTTAAAAA